ATGGTATTATTTGACAGGGATGATGGCCCTTGCAGGTGCGCAACCGTTGTCGCAGAAGTTCGAAAAAGTTGCTCGCAAAAGCCCGTTTGACAGAAATGTTTAAAAAGTGTTGGTTTTCCTACGAATCCGCAAGAGCGCGCGGGATGAGATTTTGACATTTTTTTGTTGAAAAACCATGGGTTTTTTTTTATGTTTTTATGTAAAATCGCTCCGAACACTAAGCTTTTGGAAGGATTTCGTCTTGCGCGCGCGAATGTCCACTTTACCTTATTTTTTGCAAAGGGATTCTTGAAATTTGATTATATTAGAACAAGAAATGTCATTTTATAGTGTTTTTTGCAAGGGGAAGCGGGGGGGAACAAAACAACCGGATCTTGATCACATCGAATTACCTGAGGCTTCCTCACGAAAATGATGAAAATGTAGCTGCGGCCTAGGCGGCGCAGGGGGGCCGTGCACCAGGGGCCCCAACAATAATTATTCTTTAGAATTAATAATGTACAACAACAACAACAACAACAACAACAACAACAACAACAACAAGTACTAGCACGTGGGGACACTCCGTTCTCACCAGTGCCAGGGTTTTCATAGGAGGCGGGCAATACCCCCACTTTGTGGGGGGGCCGGTTCAAGCTCTACCAAAATTCCAAACGACTCTTCGCCACCACCCACACCCAGCTTCCCGCCCTATGACGTTCGGACACTTCACTTCGTGGCATGCGGACGACCGTGGCTACTATCCAGGGCCCCGCGGCCGACGACGACGGCGTGCGCGCGCGAAGAAAAAACGAATGTGTCCCGCATGGTATTATTTGACAGGGATGATGGCCCTGGCAGGTGCGCAACCGTTGTTGCAGAAGTTCGAAAAAGTTGCTCGCAAAAGCCCGTTTGACAGAAATGTTTAAAAAGTGTTGGGTTTCCTACGAATCCGCAAGAGCGCGCGGGATGAAATTTCGACAATTTGTTTTGAAAAACCATTGGTTTTTTGATGGTTTTATGTTAAAATCGCTACGAACACTAAGGTTTTGGAAGGATTTCGTCTTGCGCGCGCGAATGTCCACTTTACCTTATTTTTTGCAAGGGATTCTTGAAAATTGATTATATTAGAACAAGAAATGTCATTTTATAGTGTTTTTTGCAAGGGAAAACGGATTACAACAAAACAACCGGATCTGGAACACATCGTTTTACCTGAGGTTTCCTCACGAAAATGATGAAAATGTGGCTGCGGCCTAGGCGCGGCGGGGGGGAGGGGGGGAGTGGGCAGAGGGGGGGGAAAGGGGGGGAGGGGGCGTGCACCAGGGGCCCAACTATAATATCTTTAGAATAAATAATAGTACAAACAACATACAAAACAAACATCATATAAAGACTTTTCGTCGTGTTCGCAACCCACCCATCTGCTATCGATCGAGTGTCCAATAATAACGCGTATTTTCCGCCTTCCCAAAACCCTTCGGATATCACAGCGCCCTCTTCGTCTTCGATCGAACCCCCTTTTGGGGGGTATGCCTTTCTTCCCTGCAGGCTGGGCCCCGGCAAGCGGCGGGGCGGCCGCGGACCGTCGGCCTGGCCAGCGGCAGCGCTGATCGGCGGGGCGGCCGCGGACCGTCGACCCGACCCCAAGAGGGACGGACATGGACCGACCACGACGACGACGACGACGACGACGACGACGACGACGACGGCGACGGACGGACGTCGAAGACGAACGGCGAGACGCAACGGCCGAGACGACCGGCGACGAACGAGCGACCGAGCGAAAGCGAGAGCGAGAGAGAACGACAGCAGGGCCACAAAGGGCACGAAGTAGGCAACAAAGGGCGACAGCGGGGACACGAAGGGAATGCGTATGGGGCCACGAAGAGCGCGAACGAGCGGGGGCCACGAAGTGCAGATAATGCGGGGCCACAGAAGGCAACTATGGGGCCACTGAGGGTAGCAACTGGGCCACGTAGGACAGTGAGGGGGACACAAATGGCGACAGCGGGGCCACGTAGGGCATGCGCATGGGGCCACACCGGGCGCGACTCCTGGGTGCCTGGGTGTCGGGAGCGCGGCGCTTGTGCAAATTGCAGGAAATTCCAACGCAAGGCCATTCTTCAGTAAGTTGCAAGCAAGTTTCCAGCGAGAGCGCGACTCCAGAGCGCCGGGAGAGCGATTCTTGAATAAATTGTAACGAAGTCCCCAGCGAGAGCGCGATTCCTGAATAAAATGCGAGGAAGTCTCGGGCGGGAGCGGGGGGTCCTGGCTAAATTGTAAGGAAGTCTCAGGCGGGAGCCGTTGTTGTTGTAACCTGGGGGCCAGGGGGCCAGTTTGAGCAGGAAGACTTCCCCTGTCAAAAAACAGGGTGCGAACGTCCATGGGCACACTCTGATTGGGAAAAAAACAATATGCACCGGTGGGGGGGGATCAACAATAATGAAATGAGAATTCAACATCAACAACAACAACAACAACAACAACAATCATTTAAGACTGGGGACACTCCGTTCTCACCAGTGCCAGGGTTTTCATAGGAGGCGGGCAATACCCCCACTTTGTGGGGGGCCCGGTTCAAGCTCTACCAAATTTCCAAACGACTCTTCGCCACCACCCACACCCAGC